GGGATTGACCTTGCAAAGTCCTGGCCCTAAACGCTTGCGCCTTGGTGTTATCCCGGCTCGCGCAGGCATGTTTAGTGATGGGCAGGAGCATCCTTCCCGGCTGCTTGGAGAAGGGGAGGCGGATTTGAAACAAGCTTTCCCTGGCCCCACAGTCTCCGTTCAGGGAATTGCACTCAGGATGCTACGTGGGGGACTGCAATATCACAGCTAAAACGGTCTCCGGAGTGGTGCATGAAGGCCACCACGAGTCCCTGGTAACCACAACGGGTTTTGAAGAAATGCCAGCTGGCATTGTCCTTCCCGTGGCACCGGAAACCCGCTGATGGCCTCAGCGGCTGCACGACTGGCATCAGCGTGCTTCGGGCTCTGCTCCTACTGACTTCCTGCGGTTCACGGCTATATTTTAACATACAGGAGATTAAGCAAATCGAAAAAAAAACCAAAAAAAGTCCACACCCAAGAGTGAAACGTCCCATCAGCCCAGTGCTGACAGCCCTCACCTGGGACTTATTTGCACCTAGTGCCTGGCTGTTTAAAGGCCCCCAGGTGTGGGGGCTAGAGGTTTTCCTCTGCAAGGATGGGGCTTTGCTGGGTTATGCTGGTGTGTGGGGCTGTGCTGGGGGTGGCAGGTGAGTGGGGCTGGGATGGGAACCCTGGTGCCTCCCTCAGTCCCCCTGGGAGAGATGGGTGGTGGCACCCCAGGGGCTGGGTGCAGGAGGGTGGGGGGCACCCTGCATGGGCTCTCCCTGCTGTGCCCAGACCCTGCATGTCCCCAGTCCTCTGGCTGGAGAGAAGCCTTCTGAAAATGACCCTGTGCTCTAGTGATGTGAGTTTGGAGCAATGGGACTTGCCTGGGGCTCCCTGTGCCCCCAACCCTCCTTAGGGCCAGTGTTCCTGCAAGGGCCTGCCATGGGTGGGGGAACTGGAGCTGCTCATGCAGCTATCAGAGATGCTGTCCCATCTGCCCTGCTGTGTGAGTGGCTCCAGGCCTATTCCCAACCCCAGCTGGGGCCCTGGTGCTGGAGGGATGCTTGTGGTGTGGCCTGTCTGCTCCCAAGGGTGCTTGGTGCCAGCAGCTGCCCAGGGTGCTGGGGGTGTCTGGGGGCAGTTCAACCCTGCCTTTTGGGCAAGTTGTGGAGCCCTTTGGGCAGTATGACCCCTCCTTATCTGGCTGGGATCTCTGGGCAGCACCCCAGTGTGCTGCCCCTCAGCAGCCTCCTGGGTGCTTGGTGCGCCTCGTGCCATGGCTGCCCACCCACCTCTGTGGGGCTGAGAGGGGCTGCTACAAACAAAGCATTGCCCAAACCAGCTGCTGCTTGGCAGGCTGGGAAGGTGCAGGCCAGGTGCTCTGCTCTGAGTCCTGGGACATTAGACCTAGGCATCCTTGCTGTGCCTGGGATGTGCTGTTTTGGCCACTGCATGCTCAGCACCTCCTCTTCGTCCTGTTAGCTGAGCTCTTGCCCTCTTGCTGCAGAGACCGTGATGGCTCCAGCTATTTCAGTGTCCTCCCCTCTCATGGCAGTGACTCCTGCAGCATCCTCCAGCATGGAGCCAAGGGCTGCTCCTGTGCCTACCAGTGCCGCAGTACCTGGCCCTCCTCTGGCAGGGGCTCATGCTCACCTCCATTCAGAGGAGCCAAGGATGAACTTCACCCTGAGGCTGCTGGATGGAGAGCACTCAGGTGGGTCTTGCTTTGGGCCACCAGCTCTGGGGACAAGAACCTAGGACTGGGCCAGCCAGGGCCTCCCTGGAGAGGCCAGCTTAGGGGCTGCCTGGCAGCAGCTGATGCTTTCTACTAGTTGGCTCAGTGCTAGAGACCTTTCAGGTGAAAGTGGCCATCCCTGCAGGACCATCACTAGCAGTTGGCCATCCATAGGGTTGTGGATGGTGAAGGTCTTTGAACAGTGGTGGCTGGAGATGGTGCCCATCACATGCTTGACACTGATCAGGCTTTTGGAGGGCAGCTGAGCACTCGCCTGATGGGCAACATGGTCCTTGTGAGCTCCTCAGGAGGAAGAGGAGGACTAGGAAAGGGCTGTAGCCCTGGAGAGCAGGAGGGGAAACCAGAGTACAGGGGACAGAGCTGGCACAGCTCTTGCCCTTTTAGGAGCAAGGGCTCACCTGTGTGGTGGGCCCCAAAATAACATATCTGCAGGTGGGCACCTGTCCTGCAGGGGTTGAAGCAGAGATGCTGGTGGGCTGGGAAGTCTGTCCCACATCCCAGTCCAGAGCTGTAGCATTCAGCCCACCCTCCTGTCTCCTTCAGAGGACCCCAGTGCCATGAAGAAGCCCCCAGTGTTTGCCCCTGGCTCTCCCATCCATGTGGAGGCTCAGGTTGAGTTCAGTCCTCGCATCTCCCTGAAGATCTACGTGGATGAATGCTATGGGACAGGTTCAAAGCATCTGGGCCGTTCCAGGAGGATCTACGTGGTTGTGAACAACCGGGGGTCAGTACCTGTGCAGAGAGGGGCATACTGAATGGGGATGGGGGTAGGAATGGGGTGAGCAGGCTGTGACCAACTGTTCCCCTTGCTGCAGGGTTCAGACACCCCCAGGCAGGGCCATGGCTCTGCCCCTTGGTCTGCCGTGTCTTGTGAGAGCGTCTGCTCCCACCTCTGCTAGGGCAGGATGTCTGGGGGCAGAGCCTGGAGCCAGCCCTGCAGATGTCCTTGTGTTGCACCCCAATCTTTGGTGTCCTCTTCAGGTGTCTGCGTGGCCAGAAGTTGGGGAGTGTTATTTGGCACCGGAGAGAGGAGTCTGCCCTCCAGTTCACCGTCCCGGCCTTCACACTGAGTGATGAGCCCAAAGAAGAGGTGAGGTCGGGGGGTGGGGGTAGGGGGACTCAGTGTTGGGGGGAGAGGCCCTGCTGGGGTGCTCTAGGGGGTCCCAAAGTGCTGTTCCCCCTGCTTCCCTCCCCTGGCTGTTCCTGCTCCCTGCAGGGGTGGGAAAGGTAGGTCTAAGAGGAAGGACATGGAGGTGCATGGGAAGAGCATGAAGCAGAAGGTCCCCAAAGAAAGCTGCAGCTCAAAGCAAGGCTCGGGTTTAGCTAACCAAGGCTCTGCATGACCCATCCCACCTTCTGCACGAGTGATGTGGTGCTTGGCCAGGCCCTATGCTGGCTCTGAGGACAGCCTGGGTGTCTCAGCAGGTCTACCTGCACTGCCTGCTTGCTGCCTGGGGCACCCGGACTGCCCGGAGACGCGGCCAGAAATCCTGTTACTACAGCGATGCCTCTGCCAGGTAAGCCCTGCCCACTCTCAACGCCTGAGCAAGTACCAGAGCACCCAGGAGTGCTTTGGGAGCAGGCACCAAGAAATTGGGCTCCCTTCTGGGACTAAAGGACCCATCCAGGGAACAAGCCTCCCATCTTGCTTTCAACACAGCCTCTTCCCTGCACAGTAGCTGGGCAGCATGACCACAGGTCCCTCTAGGTGCAGACAAACTGGGAAGATGCTCTCTGGAGCCCTTGGCTGGCCTTTCCCAAGAGGGAAAGATCCCTCTTAGGTGGCTGGGATACCTGCCAGCCTTGCACTGCATGGGTCCTGGGGGTGGAGGATGTGGCACGAGGCTCCTTAGCTTCCCCCCTTCCCCTTGCAGCTGGCACAATGCAGAGGACCCTTCCCGGAGTGCCCTGTGTGACTGCTGTGACACCCACTGCCCTGCTGCTGATGCCCTCCCTGGAGAGCTGCCAGGTACCTGCCCTGGGCTGTCACCTCTGGTGCTTTGTGTGGGCACCCCCTTCCTGGGGGCTCTTGGTTTATGGCTCCTGGTGGCTTCTCCATGGTGATAACTTTCTCGGCCAAGGCTAGCTGAGACCCTGCAAGGCTCTGGGCAGTTGGGCTTTCTGCCAAGCTACAGTGGGGTGATTTGGGGGCCCAAATCTGGGTATAGCCTCCCAGACAGGGAGCAGGTCCCTGAAGACCTGTGCAGGCCTAGCTTGCTGCCGTGCCCCCCCCACCCCCCACCCCAATGTGAGGGTGCTCTCTCCCTCTGGGAGCCCCAGGCTGTTAGGAGGGAGCATCTCTTGCATGCTTGGGCTAGGGGTCTTTGGGCCACACCATGCTGCTGCAGCAGGGGCCAGGGACATGATCGGAGTTGTAAGGGCCATGTCCTTGCTGCAGAGTTCCCAGGAGAGGGGATGTTCCACCAGAAGATGGTTGGGCCTCTGCTAGTACAGAAGGAGACCCCATGGTATGAAGGTGCGTGGACAGACCTTGCTCTGCTGAGACTTGGGGCTGGATGGCCTTGCACCTCTGCAGTCCCCATATCCTGCTGACCTGGTTTGGAGGAGTCTGGAGCTCTGGCTCTTGGTGCCATGATGGCCTCCAAGCCCGGGAGCAAACAAGGAGCAAGCACTTGCTTCCTCCCAAGACCAGGAGTCTGAGCAGTGCAACTTCATCCTCCTTGGTGCAATCCCCAAAACCTCTCTTCTTCCTCCAGCACCGTGCCGCACAGTGAAGAGACTCCTGCTGACCAGTATAGCATTTGTGGGCAGTGCTCTTGTGGCAGCTGGCCTCACGGGAGGCCTCCTTCTCCTGGGCTTGGCTGTGTGCCGCTTGCACAGGCGCAGCAGGCGGCCCCGGATGCTGAAGACGAGGAGGCAGTATCCTTACCATGCCGAGCTGCAGACTGTGGTGGGGGCCCTTGTTGTCTCTGAAGGGTCGGAGACACAGCAGGAGTCCAACATAGATTATTCCAGCCTGAAGCATGGCACAGTTTGAGATCAGATGCACTTGTTCCTCCTCAATACAAGTCATTTTTCTCTAAAGCTTGTCCTGCATCTCCTCCTGCCTTCTAGGAAGGAGTAAGCACCCAGGGGCTAGAGGGAAAGGTGGTTTGCAGCCTCACCCAGGGGTTAAGCATGACTGATATTTCCCTAGAACACTGGGCTCTGGTGGCATGCCTCCAGCCTGTGATGCATGGCCCAAAAGTGGATGCTGTAGGAACTGGTGGCTCCAGCTGGAGCAGTGCTGGGACCAGCCTGCTCTGGAGAACCAGGATCATGGGAGGCAGCACCTCAGCTGGTCAGAGGTGCTGGCAGATCCTAGGCCATAGTCCCCCAAGTCTTCCTGTAAGCCTGCTAAAAAGGGTTGAGGAAGGTAGGGGCATCCCTGGTGGCTGTGGGCCACTGTGGGGGGTGAGGGGGGTGGTCCCAGCTGGGGCTGGGTCTAAGAAAAGTGTGTGCAGGGTCCCACCACTGAGTGTTTGGGTCCCAGGCTGGGACATCTGGCCCCTTGTGAAAGGACACTGCATGGGGACCTCCTGTTGCTGCAGAGGGAGATGCAGGGGTCTGGCTCTCCCAGGCTGCGACTGGTGCATGCCACAAGCTGTGGCCAGGAGGAAGGTGGAGGGACCAGAGCTGATGGTGGCTGTTGCAGCATGGCCAGCTGGATGCATCCATGCAGGAGTCATGTGCCCAGAGCTGGGGTTGGCCCAGGGTCCAGCATGCAGCAGCTCCTCTCCATCGCTTGTGTTTCCTAAGGGCTGAGGCTTGTGCCTTCAGCTTGGGGCTGTGGACACAGGCAGCAGGTCCTGCCAGCTCTGGCAGCACTTCAGTGCCCTAAACACCACAGAGAGAGCTGGAGCAGGGCCATTTCTGAAATGGTTTATTAGGACCAGCCTATGAGGGGAGAGTCAATCGGTGCCAGCAGAGCGGACCTGTCTGCTGCGGCCGCTCTGGGGCCGTGACCTGAGGATGGTTTCACAGTGAACGGATTTCAGCAGCCTAAATCATCAAAGTGCCTTGGTTTCCTACCGTTCCCAGAGACGGGCCGGCTCTGTTGGGAGCCCTGGCGCTGCTGGCTCGGCGCAGGCCCTGCTGGGGTGCCCTCAATGCGCCCAGGGTTGGCGGGGCTGTGCCAGCACGTCGCGGCCCCTCCGGGCACCGCTAGGCCGTAGAGCTTGCGGATGCTGGAGTCCATGAGGAAATCCACGGTCCTGTGGGAGGGAGAGGAGGATGAGTTGGGTCCCGTGGCAGGCCTGGGAGCTGCCCCTGTTCCCTGGCATCTGTCCCATACCAAAAAGGGCCTTAGTGTGACCTCTGCTCTGCTCTCCCCTGGTGATACCCCTCTCTCAGCCCAACTGCTCCAGACTTTTGGCAGTAGGACATGTCCTGGCCAGACCTGGAGCCTTTTCCTCCCCAGGCACCATCACAGCGGTGACAAACCCCCACCGCCCCGTGACACGCCGCAGGTCACCGAGACCGGACGCTGGGGCATGCTG